AAAATGTGTTGCTGACCCTGAGATTTCTTGGATTCCTCGGGGATCAGTAAAAGCGTGCCACGTCCCCTACTCCATAATATAGTGGATTTGATATCCGCGGTGAGCATGCGCTACCATTTGATTCATATTTTCCTTTCCTTAGAGGCGGTCTCGCCTTAATAGGCTACAACAGAAACAATGCAGGCACCTACGAATGGACCGATGGAACTGCAGATGATTTTAATGTATGGGAAACAGAACAGCCAAAACTAGGAATGGATTGTGCCGTGCAACGTTTCGATACATTTGAGTGGAAGTCCGCTCCGTGTGAACTCCCATTTCGATTCTTCTGCAGAGCTTTATGGATAGGTAACGTAATTTGAGACATGGCCGTCTTATTGCTATTTACACACGGCATAATAATCGTATAGTTATGTCGATATTACTCTCTTTTGTTGGATGTGCTGAACGAGAACCTAACTTTACTATTTTTCTATGATATATCGCGTCAATGTAGACAAGAAAAACCAATAGAAAATGAATGATTTTAGAGTTGATCTGAATTGAAAATGGATATCAACATATTGCATTTTATTATTTCCTTTTACTCAATACACGCAAAAAAACAATTGTAGCTCCTGCGGGTCCACCAGGGACGAACGGACCACCGGGAACCAGTGGACCCCCGGGAACTGGGGGTGGTCCAGGGACTGGGGGTCCACCTAGCACTTCTGGTCCACCAGGCTCAGGCGGGCCTCCTAGCACAGAAGGTCCTCCTGGAACAAATGGTCCACCAGGAACAGGCGGTCCTCCTGCATCCAGTGGTCCTCCGGGATCTGGTGGCCCTCCAGCAACAGTTGGACTACCAGGAACCATGGGACCACCAGGAAGTAGTGGGCCACCAGGAACTGGAGCACCACCTGGGACCAGTGGGCCACTAGGAAACAATGGACCCCCCGGAACTGAAGGACCACCAGGGACAGGAGGTCCACCAGGATCGAATGGACCTCCAGGAACTGAAGGGCCTTCAGGTACAGGAGGGCCTCCTGGCACGCAAGGATCATCAGGAACGGGAGGACCCCCAGGGACAGCGGGGCCACCTGGGTCAGAGGGGCAACCAGGTACATCAGGACCTGTTGGCCGCGATGGCCCCCCAGGCACTAGTGGTCCTAACGGTGAAGCAGGGCCAATAGGAACTGATGGGCCACCCGGACTAAAGGGTGGTACTGGAACTACTGGACCACAGGGAACTGGAGGTCCACCTGGAACCCGCGGACCTCATGGCACAAATGGTCCACCCGGAAGTAGTGGCCCTCCAGGGACAGGTGGACCAAAAGGCATCAGTGGGCCACCAGGAACATTTGGTCCCCAAGGAGCAGCAGGACCACCAGGCACAGGTGGACTCCCAGGACTAATTGGACCCATGGGGACTGTTGGTGCTGCTGGAACAGCTGGTCCACCAGGGTTAATAGGGCCTCCTGGACCAACCGGGACGGGAGGACCACCAGGTACAGCGGGACCAAAAGGTAAGAGGAAATGTTTTCTTTTATAACAATGCAATGGTTTAAGTGTGTGCAGATATTTTAGTCCCATAACCTAATTAATCTCACTATTTATTGGCAGAGGATATATTGTTGTACAGTTATCAGGAATGCGTGACAATGAGCACTCTTTTGTGAATTTCAAATCTCTACATTAAAAATACAGTACTTAAATTATGTTTTCAAGTTTATCACCATATATCTGTGTAGATTTTAAATATTATCTTTAATCACAGGACTTCCGGGAAACCAAGGGCCACCAGGTGACTCAGTGAAGAGCATAAAGGGTATGAAGGGCATGGCAGGGGCTTCAGGTCAGCAAGGACTTCCAGGGTCTGTTGGACATTCGGGAGAGAAGGGAATGCAGGGGGCTAAAGGCTTATCGTTCTTTGGAATGAAAGGAGAAAAGGGAATGTCTGACAGATTTTTTGTGGTACTGCGTGGTCGAACATTATCTCCAACCACAGGACGGTTTGCACGAACATTACCTCCAACTTCAACGCGCTTTGAGAGTCCTACTACTCTACTGGCTTCACCAGTTATGACGACCAGTGCATCCCTGTTCCTTAGAGGTACGAGTATAGCACACATCCGAATTGCTTTGACCCCATTTATAACAGGAAAAAATCAAGACTTGTTTACTCCATTCTCTGTGGACTAATTGTTTGTGAAACAACATAAATTACGCACTCGGTTAATCTTGTTAAGCGGTCGTAGATGCCCTTAAGCCTAGGATAGAAGTCGTTTTGTAAAACAGTTAAAAAAAACTACATGCATGAATTTATTTGAATAGAAAAACTTTTGAGAACCAAGTTAGCTAACAACAGATTAACGCTTAAGATTATTTTATTCTAACGCATCTCAAAATGGGTTGTAAAAATATCTGATGCTTTTTATTAAGTCCCTTTTTACCTTCAAGGTGACAATCAGAATGGTACCCCAAGACGTGACAACAGCAAAGAAGACTACGAAATTCTGCAACAACTGAAGGACGCTGTGGTACATGAAATTGTACTAGGAGTAATCATAGGAACGGTTTTCCTAGGGACCATCTACCTCTATGTAGCATATTTCAAGCAAGTGGCGTATGAAAAACGTGAAATTGAAAAAATAAGAAAGAAATTGGATGGGATGAAGCCTTAAGAGGAAACTTTATTCAAATGCCCATATTAATCATATGTATGTAGAACCTGGGGCGGAAATTTTTAAATGTTGGAATATTCATTCTATGACATATAAGTCTGCTTGGTTATGGTTACAAAAATAAAACCAAATAGATTAACTATTTAAATACCAATATCATGAAATTTTCTTACATAAGCCATACCCACTAAGCAAGCCTGCGGCACGAGTATCCTATATGAGGTTTGTGTCTCAGCTATAAGTGACTAGCATGTGCAAATTAAGGCGACCAAAGACACAGATGAATAAGTCTCTATTATTTTAAATTGACTATATACACAGAATGTGCAAATGAACTGTATCTTTCACCAGGTTATTGGTAGGCAGGTAACAAAAAATAATGTCAAGGGTTCATTTGGAATATTGCTATTCTTGTCTTTGTCTCGCTTAATGACGACAATATAAAAAATGAATTAATGCATTTTAGATTTTAATTTGAATATAGACTTCGTGTTGAAATCACATAATTGGTAGGATACAAGGTAAAAAAGGAGCCGTTTTCCTGTTTTCACATCAGGTGATCATTTTTTTAAAGATTAGTATAAAATGTGAATATAAGGAGCTATTATAGAGGTTAGGGAACTCATCTCAATGACGCACAGCTATAGCCCTATAATATTTCTAAACGTTTAAACCCATTTTTGTCCAATTCAATAAAGCAAAATTTTTGTCTAAAATAGCAGCCCTGCCTCTCATGTTAAACAACCGACGTCCCTGCAGGGGCACAGTGATTAAATCTCGGCTCCATTCGACCAGACGCGTGGGGAGGCGTGTGAGAGGCGAAGTGACCATTACAGGATTAAGCGGTCTTCCTATCGTGTTGGGTCCGCCATATTTGAGCCCTAGACCAGTTGATACTCGGACCTTCTAAGTGACCACATGGTTTTACTCCACCATTTTCGTCTCTTTTGCAAACTTCCCATAATTCAACTGAGCTGGTCTGTCTCCTCTAACACAATCTAGGCACAATCATAGCATGTACATTTACCTCTGCGCTTTACATAATTTTATCGATGGTTACATTTTGGTTTTCGAATCAAAACTAGGTATTTCGATCATTTTAAATTTCTTTGAGACCAATTGTAACAGGAAATTAGGACGTTGTAGGCCAATGAAAATTGTATTTTCCATGTTATCACAATATAAATATATGTATGGTGATATGGCGATGGCGGTCTCCACACATGTTGTTTTGCGCAATTTTCTCTTGTCGCGTCTCAAAACTTCTCTTAACTTTCTTGTTAGCCTCCACTTACACTGTTTGTGGTTTTCGTCTTTCAGCCAGTTCTTGATCTACGAAATATATCTCTGTACACTTACACATACGGCAGAGACTTAGACCCCATTTCCAGAGATAAGATCGATCTACTTTAGATCGACCTAACTCCCTGGGGGTTCACACTAAATAGCTGTCAGCCGAGCGGACACGAAAGTTAATTACCCCCTTACAGCTTGCAGTAGGCGGGACGGACATTTAAACCGGATGATCTGACAGTAATCTAGGGAGACTCCCCGCGGGGATAGATCGATCTAAAAGCTCTGGGAATACAGCCTTACACCCCATTTCCATAGATTAGATCGACCTACTTTAGATCGACCTAACTCCCTGGGGGTTCAAGCTAAATAGCTGTCAGCCGGGCGGACACGACAGTTAATTACCCCCTTACAGCTTGTAGTAGGCCGGACGGACATTTAAGCCGGATTATCTGACAGTAATCTAGTGAGACTCCCCGCGGGGATAGATCGATCTAAAAGCTCTGGGAATACAGCCTTACACCCCATTTCCATAGATTAGATCGACCTACTTTAGATCGACCTAACTCCCTGGGGGTTCAAGCTAAATAGCTGTCAGCCGGGCGGACACGAAAGTTAATTACCCCCTTACAGCTTGTAGTAGGCGGGACGGACATTTAAGTCGGATTATCTGAAAGTAATCTAGTGAGACTCCCCGCGGGGATAGATCGATCTAAAATCTATGGGAATAGAGCCTTAGTTGACTAGGATTTCCATGAGAGTGCTGTTACACTACACCTGATAGGATAAGATGGGGCTATGTGACCATGTAACCTTGGTAATTATAAGTTCTTAGCCAGAGAACCTGACTTAATTTAGTGAAACCGTGGCCTGTGCCCAGCTGTCTTTCGGTATCAGGCTATGGTAAGCTGGAAGCTTGCCTCAGACTTTGTAACCAATTTTCTGCTTCAGTGTCTGACTCTCAGGGTGTTGGCGTTCGCCTCGTCTGGAACTGTTTAGAGGGTCCCACTGGGTATTTTTTTTTTCTAGTGAAAGCTACTTTTTATTTCTCAAGATGAAACGATATAATTTAGGGTGATCCGTAAAGCACCCAATTCCCATGAATGCGAATGCGGCTTCTAATTCTTCGTCCTACGAGAAACGAAGTCATATTATGCTCGATGATACGTAATTTTGAAGTCATATTTTTCAAAGATATTATGAATAAAGTTTAATTTAATTACTGTGGTTTGCGAATTGAAGATTTCATTTTCCGTGAACTGTGATAAATGTTATCAATCTCCCCTCCCCAAAGTGCACCCTCTATTTCGAGTGCTACGAAACTCTGGACCCTTATCAAAATGAATTTTTGCCGAGTCACTGGCAACCTTTGCTCATGGACAAAGAATACTTGTATTCCTTGCACAACAACGGCGTATACACGGCTCCAGAACATGACGGCATGCTTTGGAGCAGTTATAATAGGTCATATTTCATTGACTATTAACCACTTGCCTCTAGTGCAAGAGCACTGGGAGCGCTGTCAGTAGAGCCAACCTAACCCATCCTCTTCAGCCTCTTCCAGACCAAGAACACATGTATTGATTGTACGGCCGTGACCGCACGTGTGCCGCGACTGAGAGGTTACTGTACAGAGAGCTGTTGCCTAAAGAGTGAACGGTTACTGACCTAAGAGCAAGAGATATCCAGAGGTATGTTCCGTAAAAACAATGCTTCATTATTGTTACGTACGAATATCATATCAGCTAGTGCTTCGGATCCGATTCTATGTAGCGGCTGCCGTTCCTGCGTCAAGACAGACACAGAATAGCCATATTATTTTCTTTATCTGTGCCTTTCTAGAGAGATTTTCTGGAGATTTCCAGAAAGCCAGTCTTGTTTTTATATTGCAGCCACTTGTTGCAGTTAATCAACCTGAATGTTTCAAAACTAAACAATGAGGCAACCAATACAAATAAATCGCAAAACACGCTTAACAATTACTTGGTTTAAAATAAGCAGGCTCCGTCTTTAAAGTTTATTGGGATTCATTCTTTGCACTATTTATTTATTTATTTTTTATCTTTTGCGTCCATGGACATATATCAGGGCGTCTGGCATCATTCAATATAATTTCATATTTCATTCCATAAAAATATTCCGATGCGGGTGTTAATTGCGAGCACCAGTATAGTATCTTTTAGTTTATGTAGATTAAAAGGTTTCACTTGATTAAAAGCCTGATGGTGCTATATCAACCATTTTTAACAAACAACACGCAATTATATTGCATAGGTGGCGGTGGTGTGATGAACGAAAATTCATACATTCTGACCATGCATGGTAGCATAAGCTGAACTAAATGCAGTTCTAAGTTACCAAACTTGTAAGAAAAAATTAATAGAATACTCACGCGGCGCTGTTTCTTAATTAAGACATACATACGTGCCATTTCATACGTTTCAAATT